CTATCAGTTTTGCATTCATATACACTGAAGTTTGTTAGCAAGTATTCAGGAATTGTATATCTTCTCAATGAACTGATTCTTTTGTCATTATGTAATGTCACTCTCTATCCCTGGTAATTCTCCTTGTCTTTCTCTGATAGCAATATAGCCACTCCTGTGTTTTTACAATTAATCAATACATGGTTCTCTTTTCTATTCTCTTAAGTTGCATGTATCTTCATATTTAAAGCATGTCCTTATAAACATCATATAGTTGAATCTCACTTTTTAAAATCTAGTCTAGCACTCTTGCTCTTTTCATTAGACGGTTTAGTCAAGCTAGACAGAATGTAATTAGTAATTTGATTGGGTTTGATTCTATCATCTTGCTGTTTGTTTTCTCTTTGTCCCCTTGTCCTTCGTTTCTTATTTTCCTTTTCCTGTCTTCTTTTGGATCAATTGGGTGTTTTCTTGTATTTCATTCTATCTTCTCAAATAGCTTTTCAGCTATGCCTAACTTTTAGTGGGTGCTTTGGGGATTAAAATAAACATATTTTACCACTGTCTACCTTGAATTAACTTTATGCCACTTCACGTAAATGTAAGAACTTTACAACAATATACTTTCATTTATCCACCCTCATCTTTTGTGCAATTGTCATACATTTTGCTTCTGCATAGATTATACACCTCACAGTACTTTGTTACTATTTTTGGTTTAAGCACTTGAATTTTTTTTTAAAGAAACTAAGAAATAAGAAGAAATGTCTTTTATATTTATGTCCCACATATTTTCCATTTCTGGTAGTCTTTTTAATGCAGATCTGATATCATGTGGAATCATTTTCTTCCTGCCTGGAGGACTTCCTTTAACATTTCTTGAAATGCATGTATGTTAATGATTCATCCAGCTTTTACTTATCTGGAAATGCCTTTAGTCTACTTTTTAAGACTACTTTTTTTCCGGATATAGATTTATGGGTTGACTGAGGTTTTTTAGTATAGTTTTGTTTGGTTTTTATTTAGTCACTTCAAAGATGCTGCCCCATTATCTTCTGACTAGTTTTATGTCTGATTAAAAAAAAAATAGGAATATTTCTCATTATTCCTTTTTGAGTAACCTGTCTTTTTTCCCTGGCTACTTTTTAATTTTTCTCTATCTTCAGTTTTTAGCAACTTGATTATGATGTGCCTAGGTGTGGCTTTCTTTGTGCTTCTCTTAAGTAAGTTTTATTGAATTTATTGGATTTGTATGTTGACATTTTTTCATCAGATTTTGGGGAAAGTGGCCATTACTTCAACTTTTTTTCCTGTCTCACTTTTTTCTCTGTTCTACTGTGACTCTACTTATGCATACATTATACTGCTTGATGTTTTCTCACAGATCACTGAGTCTTTATTTTTTTAAAATCCTTTTTTTCTCTGTGCTTCAGTTTAGATAATTTCTGTTGACCTGTTTTCAAGCTCACTGATTTTTTCTTATGCATTGTTCAATCTAATGTTAAGCATTAAATACAGTGAATTTGTTTCATGAAGTATGCTTTCTAGTACTGTAATTTCCACTTCTCTCTTTTGAAGGTTTCTCTTTCTCCACTGAGATTTCTATATTAATGTGTCCATCCTTCCTTTTAATTCTTGAACTTATTTCTACTGGCTGTTTTAAAGTCTTTGTCTGCTACTGCCAACATCTGTGGCATCTCTAGTCCTATTTCTACTGACTTTATTCTCTGGGTTATGGGTCACGTTTTCTTACCACTTTGTATGTCTAGTAATTTTTTTATTGAATGCTGGGTCTTATGAATGCTACAATGTTGAGTTTGGATTACGTTGTTTTCCTTTAGGGTGCTGAGTATTGCTAAGGCAAGCATTTAATTTACGTATGGTTCAGCTTGATCCTGTTGAGGCTTGTTTCTAAGCTTTGTTAAAGTAGGCCAGAAATAGCCCATAGGCTAGGACTAGAGTAGTCCTGTTTCTAAGGATTGGTCTTTCTGGGATCTCAATTGAATGCCCAGAGTGTTCAGTGATACAGTTGAACTATGATTGGCCAGAAATCCAATGTCTGCCATTGCTATGTAACCTCGAGAATCTCCAGCCAGAGCACAGTCCCTCAGTAGGTACCCTCTGCCAGGCTACGCAGGATCCTGTTGCACATGTGCAGCTTTGTATTTGGCCAAAGACTGAAGGGGACCCATAGGCAGATTTCTAGGGCATCTTCCCTGTTTGGCTCTTTCTTCTTTGATATCCTGCCATAGAAATTCCAGCCACTGGCTGGGCGCGGTGGCTCATGCCTGTAATCCCAGCACTTTGGGAGGCCAAGGCAGGCAGATCACGAGGTCAGGAGATCAAGACCATCTTGGCCAACATGGTGAAACCCCGTCTCTACTAAAAATACAAAAATCAGCTGGGCGGGTGGCACATGCCTGTAATCCCAGCTACTCGGGAGGCTGAGGCAGGAGAATCACTTGAACCAGGAAGTCAGAGGTTGCAGTGAGCCGAGATCACGTCACTGCACTCCAGCCTGGGCGACAGAGTGAGACTCCATTTCAAAAAAAAGAAAAAAGAAATTCCAGCCATTTCCACAGCCTGAAGTCTGAACTCTGTTGACTCCACCCAGTGAAACTAGTACCGTCTTGTGGGATTTACTTCCTTGTGTTGCCACTTGGAAAGTGTCCCTGGCAGAAAGCTAACTTGAATGTGGAGCTTAGCACATGTGTTTCCTTTGCTCAGGATTTACTGGCCAGGTTTTGGTAAATCTTTACAAGCAATGAGCAAAGCTCTTGGCAAATATTAGGTGCTTAGTAAGGTGTTTTTCACGGAGGAAGGTGTGATGAATTTAGTTCACTTTTGGAAATACCCACAAGGCTATTCAAATGGCCTGTCCAGAGAATCAATCTCCATTTCCCCCATTCACTCCCAGCTTCCCCTCAGGGGTAACAAACTGTCTCCTCTCTTTGGAAGCTGACAAGCAGTTTTCTGTGCATTTGGGTTACTCAGTTTGTAAAGCTTTGAGCATTTAGATAATGATCAGAATTGCATTCATCCACAGTTAAGATACACACTGTTTTCTGGGGGATTTGATATACTTTTTCCAAATCAGCTAAATGCTCTCTGGAAGAATTATTGGTGGGGAGGGGAGGCTAAACGACTTAGCATAAATCATCATTCAGAATGTGTCCTTGAAGCCCTGCATATAGTTTCTCGTGTTACCAAGAAAAGAACTTCTGAGTCTGTTTAAAGAAAGCAGCAGCAGCCAGCTCCAGTGTCCTCTTCAAGGAGAATGCTCCAGGTTTAGGAAGCTCTTGGGTGAAAGAAATCCCCAACAAGACCTCCTGGCTCCTTGTATTCACCTCAAACACCAGCTCGGCCTTATCTTCCCAGGGCCCATTTTCTGGACCAGTGAACCAAATAAAGACAGGCCATTTTCTTTTGTTTGCATCTTGACTGGGAAGACCAGGTCTCCAAAGGAAGGATTATTTTGAGTTGCTTTGGAGATTATTTGAGTATTTCACACTTTATCCTTATCTACTGCGTGTCCCCCTACTGCCATCACCCTGCAACATAAACACACTATATATAATCAATACCATCTTCTCTCCTGTGAAAGACGTGTCATTTGGCTTTGGGGCCCAATCACCCCATTCTTGCCTTGGAGACACCGGATGGGTAATTTGAGTTCACAATTCCTATAGTTCGGCCAGTAGATCTAACCCTTCAACTAAGATTTCCTCTTCATCAATAAGCACTAACTTTCCCCGTGCCTGCGTTTTGATTAAAAAATACAAGACAAACAAAGGATTGAAAAGATTAAATGTGTGAGGGTTTAATTTTCCTCTGGGGGAGAAAAGACAAGTTATGATTTTCTTCTAAGCAAACAAACCATTTTCCATATGCCTCTAAGAGAAAACTGCTTTTCTGTTATTCTGCACATTCCACAAATAAGTCCAGTGGGGATGGGGGTGCCTAGGAAGCAGCACATTTTCTTATGTTGTAGAAAAAATGTGTTTTCCAACTCATAGTCTCTAAGCTCTAGTATAATTAGGTTTGAGGAGCAACTCTGCTTTTGAAAGGGAGCCAGGGAGCATGGAAGAGCCAGGGTTTACTTTCTGCATGCTGTGAGGGCCTCTGGGTGGGAGTCTAGCGAGACCTGACTTCATGGCTTGAGGCAGCTGGTGCACCATGCGCCTGCCCCCATGGTAGGACACTTGCCCCTCACCACGAGATGGGGCTGGGAGGCTGTGCAACCTACAGAAAGATTGTCCAGAAATACCTTCTGCAGTGTTACCTTCTGGATTCTAGCTCCTGGGGCATATATAACCCCCATTCTCAAACCTTAGAGGGGAACCTAGGGTAGCCCTTCACATCCTTGCTAAAACTTCAAAGACTTTGGTACCTGGCCTTGTCATTCCCCTACTTCAGTCGCCCCCCAATCTTTTTGGCACCAGGGACCGGTTTCGTGGAAGCCAATTTTTCCATGAATGGTGGGGGGGATGCTTCTGGGATGAAACTGTTCCACCACAGATCATCAGGCATTAGATTCTCATAGAGAGCACACAACCTAGACCCCTCGCATGCGCAGTTCACAGTAGGGTTCACGCTCCTGTAAGAATCTAACGCTGCGGCTGATCTGACAGTAGGCGGAGCTCAGGCAGTAATGCTCACTCCCCTGCCGCTCACCTCCTGCTGTACCGATACCAGTCCATAGCCCTGAAGTTGGGGACCCCTGCCTTACTTCATTGCCTTCAATAGTTCCCCATTGTTTTTATGATGAAGTTTCTATTCCTTAGATTTTCTCACAAGTTTTTGTTTGTTTTTTGTTTTGAGATAGGGTCTCACTATGTCACCCAGCTGGACTACAATGGCACAAACACAACTCATGGTAGCCTTGACTCCTGGGCTCATGCGATCTTCCCATCTCACTATGCCTGGCTAATTTTTTATTTTATTTTATATTTTTAGAGATGGTGTCTGGCTATGGTGCCCAGGCTGGTCTTGAAATCCTGGGCTCAAGTGTTCCTCCTGCCTCAGCCTCCCAAAGTGCTGGGATTACAGGGATGAACCACTGTGTCCTGCTGGTAAGTAAGTCCTTAATAACCTGATCCTGCTGTATCTTTCCCTTATCTTTCACTCCTCCTTCTGCAATCCTCCCTCCACTCTCCTAATGACACCCTCCACCAACCCCTGCCTCTCTCTTCCAGCATATGGAAGTCTTTGCAACCCCTTGGATGCACTGGACTCTCTTCCAGCTTGGAATGCTGTACCTGGAGGGTGGGAACAACATCCCCTTGCTGCATCCTGCTAGCTCCTGTTCACACCTCAAATCTCAACACAGGATTGCTTCCTCCAGGAAAGCCTCCTTCAAGGCTGAGTTGGGCATCCCTCCTGCTTGCTGCCATAGTTCACTGTGCTTACCTCATCACAGTTATTCATTCACAAGTATTTATTGAGTGTTTCCATATAGCAGCCACTGGGCTAGGTCCTAGGAATACAGTAGGAAGAAACAGTAATAAATAAGAAAAACAAACAAATACCTGAGAAAATCCTATTTGTGATAATTTCTGGGAAAGAAAAGGATATAGACATGGAAAATAGGGGGCAAGGTAAAGACCACCTTATCCTATTTTATTCTTATGTTCTGTTCATTACTTTCTCCACTAGATAGCAGGTACCCCAAGAGCAGAGATTTGTGTTACTCTTCGACTCTTCGCTTTACTTCTAATGCCCAAGTAGGACACAGTATAATGATGGCATTTGATAAGAGTTTGTGGTATGAGCCATAACCATTTTCTCTTCCTTACATTTCCGGGCCTTAACATTGTTGGAAACTGGAAATTTCAAATCTCTTTCCAGGAAGGGTCAACTGGACAGAGAACACAGGACATTGAACGAAGACACTCTGAATTAAAAGGACAGAGAAGACAGACCCTGGCTCATTTGGAAATCAACCTCCTTCCCTAGTCTGCCAAGTATCTAATATCTATCATTATTGGTATTTTAAATGTAAGGACATTTTAAATATGACCTCAAATTCTTTGACAATGCTTCCTCTTGAATGTGGGCTGGTCCTAATGACTAGCTTCCAATGAGTAGAAATTGCAGAAATGATGTGTTAATTTTGAGGCTACATCATAAAAGACAGAGATAATGCAGCTTTCATCTCAGTCCCTCTTCCATCTTGCTCTGTGGGAAGCTGGCTTCCATTTTGTAAGGACATTCCAATAGCCTAAGAAGTGATGCCCATGGTTAGGAACCGAGACCTCCCGCCAAATGACAAATAAGTGACCATCTCAGGAACAGCTCCCTTAGCCCCACCAAGCCTTCAGAGGACTGCAGCTCCGGCCAAAACCTTAGCTGCAACCGCATGAGAGAGCCTGAGTCAGCCTCTCAACTGAAGTGTTCCCAGACTCCGGACCCACAGAAATCCACAGATAATAAAAGTTTGGTTTCAACCACTGTGTTTTGGGGTAATCTATTATGTAGCAGTAGATAATATGTCTGCACACTTGAACTTATGTCGTAAAAGATGGGAGTTAGCTGAGCCTCCTCTGCAAGGAAAGGCTCTTTCCATTCCAGACAAAAAAGGACAACTTGTCTGAAAAATCAGAAGGGTAGTGGGATGGACTGAATGTTGGTGTCCCCCTAACACTCATAAGGTAAAATTGAATTCCCAATGTCATGGTATTTGGAGTGGGTCCTTTGGGAGGTAATCAGGTCATAAGGGTGGAGCCCTCGTGAATGGGATGAGTGCCCTTGTAAAGGGGACCCCAGAGAACTTTCTTGCCCTGCCCTCTTTCTGCTATGTGGAGATACAAGGAGAAGTGGGCACTCTGCAGCCAGGAAGAGGGCCCTCACTAGAATCGACCATACTGGAGCCCAGAGCTTGCACTTGCAGCCTCTGGAACTGCAAGAAATAAATGTTTGTTGTTTATAAACCACGCAGTTTGCGGCTGATATAGTTTGCATGTTTGTCCCTTCCAAATCTCATGCTGAAATGTGACCTCCAGTGTTGAAGGTGAGTCCAGCGGGAGGTATTTGAGTCATGGGGGTGGATCCCTCATGAATATCTTGATGCCCTCCCCACAATAATAAGTTCATGTGAGATCTCTCTGTTTAAAACAAAAAATGAGACAGAGACTGGGACCTCCTCTCTCTCTTGTTCTCTCTCTCTCTCACCATGTGACACACCTGCTCCCTCTTTGCCTTTCACCATGATTGTAAACTTTCTGAGGCCTTACCAGGACCCAAGCAGATGTGGGTGCCATGCTTGTATAGCCTGCAGAATTGTGAGCCAAATAAGCCTCTTTCCTTTATAAATTAACCAGTCTCAGGTATTCCTCTATAGGAATGCAAAATGGACTAACACAATGGCACTTTGTTATAGCAGCCTGAATCAAGACAGGTAGTTGCTTTTTCATCTGTAAAGAGACTGGGCCTATCTTGGATTCTCAGGTTTCCAGCCTTCTCCATAACATCCCCTATGACCCCAAAGGAGTTGTGAATGTAAGTAGGCATATAATTAACAATTCACGCATCTTGAAAACTTTCAATGTGTTGGCACTGTTCTAAAGAACTTTGCATATATTAACTCATTTAAGCCTCACAACTGCCCCGTCAGATACTATGATTGTCCCTGCTTTACAAATGAAGAAACTGAGGCACTGAGCAGAAATAACTTGCCAAAGCAAGCTTTTAATATTGGAGAAAAGGCCCTAACAAAAAAGAAGGCTTACTATGTGAAAATCATTTTAACAAACACTTTCATAGCATTTCTCTTAATCCACAACACAAACCTGCAAGAAATAGGTCAAAGGCCCCTCTTTTGAAGATAAAAAATGAGGCCCTTGGAGGGTAAGTGACTTGCCCATGGTCATACAGGAAGTGGCAGGTGTGGGTTCAAAGTCTAGGTCTGTTGCTTTCAAAGCCTTTCCTCAACACCCAGCTGCCTCCCTGTTCCCCTACCCTCTCTCTGCTCTCAGCTTCAGATGTGTGCTTGGCAGATCCAGAAAAATCCCTCAGGTGCTGGCCAGCTGCCTAAATGAGGAATGAGGTGACAGCCCTGAAATTACGCATCCCCAGGCACCTCCAGGCAGCTGTTACCTGCACCCAAGTCTATGCTGATGTGCTTTACCACAAGCCTTGGGTCAGAGATGAGTGAGAAAAGTGGGCAGAAAAGGAGCAGGATAAATGGGCTGCAGTAAGCCCAGCTGTTTTGGCTTCAAGGCAAGAGTTCAGTAAATCCAGAAACACCTGTGCCTGTGACATTCCTGAGGTTGATGCTGCCTCAGGGCTTGGCTCTGCTTCCTGGGATGAGGCAAGAGTTCAGAGGAGATGGACAGAAATCTCTCTCCTGACTGTCAGGAGAAGGGAAGAGCCCTATCTATGAAGTCAGACGGGCCAGCCTAGGAGAAATTCATACTGTGTATCCATCCACATACCTGTGTCATCTGTGTGAGTAGAAAACCTGCTTCCCTGCACATAACACGCACTCACTTGTCCATGTTAACTCCCTCGCCTCTCCACTCTCCTGTCCTCATCTGCAGGGTTTGAGGTATCCCGTGACTTAACATGGAAGTCAAAAGGCCATCCTCATGAGCTAGAAACTGTTAGCTCTCCTTGCATTTCTATAAGGCAATGGTCTGAGACCTCTTTTGGGTACTTGGGATGACTGCATTTTGCTGTAACACAGGGAAAAGAAGAGAGCTGTGGGAGTCCAACTTTGAGGGCTTAAAGATCACCTGGAGAGCATGTTAGAAACGCAACACAGACTCCAGTTTCATTCCAGTGATTCTTATTCATTGGGTGCCCCCATGAATAAGTCTTTTTTTTTTTTTTTTGACATATCAAATTTTTTCCCTTCAATCACATTTAAGATTAGCCCACTTCAAAGTTTAAAGTTAGAAGAATTTTACTTCGCTAATGGAAGTGGACTTTTTTATAGAAGAAAAATCACTTTCACTTTTTTTGAAGATAGAAATAGATGTTATTGTAGTCATTTGTGCAGTGAAGTATCTATTTGTCACATTTTAAAAATCCCAGGAGCATTTTTTTCTTGGTAAATTTTAATAAGATATCTTAACATTTTTCCATATGTCTGATCTGCAAGGTTGTTGTTTTTCTTTATATACATACTTTATGTTCTAGGGAACATGTGCACAACATGCAGGTTTGTTACATATGTATACATGTGCCATGTTGGTGTGCTGATCCCATTAATTCGTCATTTACATTAGGTATATCTCCTAATGCTATCCCTCCCCCTCCCCCCACCCCACAGCAGGCCCCAGTGTGTGATGTTCCCCTTTCTGTGTCCAAATGTTCTCAGTGTTCAATTCCCACATATAAGTGAGAACATGCAGTGTTTGATTTTCTTTTCTTCAATAGTTTGCTGAGAATGATAGTTTCTAGCTGCATCCATGTCCCTAGAAGGGACATGAACTCATCCTTTTTTATGGCTGCATAGTATTCTATGGGGTATATGTGCCACATTTTCTTAATCCAGTCTATCATTGGGGGACATTTGGGTTGGTTCCAATCTTTGCTATTGTGAATAGTGCTGCAATAAATATACATGTGCATGTGTCTTTAGAGCAGCATGATTTATAATCCTTTGGGTATATACCCAGTAATAGGATGGCTGGGTCAAATGGTATTTCTAGTTCTAGATCCTTGAGGAATCACCACACAGTCTTCCACAATGGTTGAACTAGTTTACAGTCCCACCAACAGTATAAAATTGTTCCAATTTCTCCACATCCTCTCCAGCACCTGTTGTTTCCTGACTTTTTAATGATGACCATTCTAACTGGTGTGAGATGGTATCTCATTGTGGTTTTCATTTGTATTCCTCTGATGGCCAGTGATGATGAGCATTTTTTCATGTGTCTGTTGGCTGCATAAATGTCTTCTTTTGAGAAGTATCTGTTCATATCCATTGCCCACTTTTTGATGTTTTTTTTTTTTTCTTGTAAATTTGTTTGAGTTCTTTGTAGGTTCTGGATATTAGCCCTTTGTCAGATGAGTAGACTGTAAAAATTTTCTCCCATTCTGTAGGTTGCCTGTTCACTCTGATGGTAGTTTCTTTTGCCGTGAAAAATCTCTTTAGTTTAATTAGATCCCATTTGTCAATTTTGGCTTTTGTTGCCATTGCCTTTGGTGTTTTAGACATGAAGTCCTTGTCCATGCCTATGTCCTGAATGGTATTACCTAAGTTTTCTTCTAGGGTTTTTATGGTTTTAGGTCTAACATTTAAGTCTCTAATACATCTTGAATTAATTTTTGTATAAGGTGTAAGGACGGGATCCAGTTTCAGCTTTCTGCTTATGGCTAGCCAGTTTTCCCAGCACCATTTATTAAATAGGGAATCCTATCCCCATTTCTTGTTTTTGTCAGGTTTGTCAAAGATCAGATGGTTGTAGATGTGTGGTATTATTTCTGAGGGCTCTGTTCTGTTCCATTGGTCTATTTCTCTGTTTTGGTACGAGTACCATGCTGTTTTGGTTACTGTAGCCTTGTAGTATAGTTTGAAGTCAGGTAGCGTGATGCCTCCAGTTTTGTTCTTTTGGCTTAGGATTGTCTTGGAAATGCGGGCTCTTTTTTGGTTCCATATGAACTTTAAAGCAGTTTTTTCCAATTCTGTGAAGAGAGTCATTGGTAGCTTAATGGGGATGGCATTGAATTTATCAATTACCTTGGGCAGTATAGCCATTTTCACGATATTAATTCTTCCTATCCATGAGCATGGGATGTTCTTCCATTTGTTTGTGTCCTCTTTTATTTCATTGAGCAGTGGTTTGTAGTTCTCCTTGAAGAGGTCCTTCACATCCCTTGTAAGTTGGATTCCTAGGTATTTTATTCTCTTTGAAGCAATTGTGAATGGGAGTTCACTCATGATTTGGCTCTCTGTTTGTCTGTTATTGGTGTATAAGAATGTTTATAATTTTTGCACATTGATTTTGTATCCTGAGACTTTGCTGAAATTGCTTATCAGCTTAAGGAGATTTGGGGCTGAGATGATGGGGTTTTCTAAATATACAATCATGTCATCTGCAAACAGGGACAATTTGACTTCCTCTTTTCCTAAGTGAATACCCTTTATTTCTTTATCTTGCCTGATTGCCCTGGCCAGAACTTCCAACACTATGTTGAATAGGAGTGGTAAGAGAGGGCATCCCTGTCTTGTGCCAGTTTTCAAAAGGAATGCTTCCAGTTTTTGCCCATTCAGTATGATATTGGCTGTGGGTTTGTCATAAATAGCTCTTATTATTTTGAGATATGTTCCATCAATACTGAATTTATTGAGAATTTTAAACATGAAAGGTTGTTGAATTTTGTCAAAGGCCTTTTCCACATCTATTGAGATAATCATGTGATTTTTGTCTTTGGTTCTGTTTATATGCTGGATTATGCTTATTGATTTGCATATGTTGAACCAGCCTTGCCTCCCATGGATGAAGCCCACTTGATCATGGTAGATAAGCTTTTTGATGTGCTGCTGGATTCTGTTTGACAGTATTTTATTGAGGATTTTTGCATCGATGTTCATCAGGGATATTGGTCTAAAATTCTCTTTTTTTGTTGTGTCTCTGCCACGCTTTGGTATCAGGATGATGTTGGGCTCCTAAATTGAGTTAGGGAGGATTGCCTTTTTTTCTATTGATTGGAATAATTTCAGAAGGAATAGTACCAGCTCCTCCTTGTATCTCTGGTAGAATTTGACTGTGAATCTGTCTGGTTGTGGACTTTTTTTGGTTGGTAGGCTATTAATTATTGCCTCAATTTCAGAGCCTGTTATTGGTCTATTCAGGGATTCAACTTCTTCCTGGTTTAGACTTGGGAGGGTATATGTGTCCAGGAATTTGTCCATTTCTTCTAGGTTTTCTAGTTTATTTGCGTAGAGGTGTTTATAGTATTTTCTGATGGTAGTTTGTATTTCTGTGGGGTTGGTGGTGAAATCCCCTTTATCATTTTTATTGCATCTATTTGATTCTTCTTTCTTTTCTTCTGTATTAGTCTTGCTAGTGGTCTATCAATTTTGTTGATCTTTTCAAAAAACCAGCTTCTGCATTCATTGATTTTTTTGAAGAGATTTTTGTGTCTCTATCTCCTTCAGTTCTGCTTTGATCTTAGTTATTTCTTGCCTTCTGCTAGCTTTTGAATGTGTTTGCTCTTGCTTTAGTTCTTTTAATTGTGATATTAGGGTGTCAATTTTAGATCTTTCCTGCTTTCTCTTGTGGGCATTTAGTGCTATAAATTTCCCTCTACACACTGCTTTAAATGTGTCCTAGAGATTCTGGTATGTTGTATCTTTGTTCTCATTGGTTTCAAAGAACATCTTTATTTCTTTTTTTTTTTTTGAGACGGAGTCTCGCTTTGTCGCCCAGGCTGGAGTGCAGTGGCCGGATCTCAGCTCACTGCAAGCTCCGCCTCCCGGGTTTACGCCATTCTCCTGCCTCAGCCTCCCGAGTAGCTGGGACCACAGGCGCCCACCACCTCACCTGGCTAGTTTTTTGTATTTTTTAGTAGAGACGGGGTTTCACCATATTAGCCAGGATGGTCTCAATCTCCTGACCTCGTGATCCGCCCGTCTCGGCCTCCCAAAGTGCTGGGATTACAGGCTTGAGCCACCGCGCCCGGCCAGAACATCTTTATTTCTGCCTTCATTTCGTTATGTACCCAGTAGTCATTCAGGAGCAGGTTGTTCAGTTTCCATGTACTTGAGTGGTTTTAATTGAGTTTCTTAATCCTGAGTTCTAGTCGATTGCACTGTGGTCTGAGAGACAGTTTGTTATAATTTCTCTTCTTTTACATTTGCTGAGGAGCGCTTTACTTCCAACTATGTGGTCAGTTTTGGAATAAGTGCGACGTGGAGCTGAGAAGAATGTATATTCTGTTGATTTGGGGTGGAGAGTTCTGTAGATGTCTATTAGGTCTGCTTGGTGGAGAGTTGAGTTCAATTCCTGGATATCCTTGTTATCTTTCTGTCTCATTGATCTGTCTAATGTTGACAGTGGGGTGTTGAAGTCTCCCATTATTATTGTGTGGGAGTCTAAGTCTATTTGTAAGTCTCTAAGGACTTGCTTTATGAATCTGGGTGCTCCTGTATTGGGTGCATATATATTTAGGATAGTTAGCTCTTCTTGTTGAATTGATCCCTTTACCATTATGTAATGGCCTTCTTTGTCTCCTTTGATCTTTGTTGGTTTGAAGTCTGTTTTATCAGAGACTAGGATTGCAATGCCTGCCTTTTTTGTTTTCCATTTGCTTGGTAGATCTTCCTCCATCCCTTTATTTTGAGCCTATGTGTGTCTCTGCACATGAGATGGGTCTCCTGAATACAGCACACTGATGGGTCTTGACTCTTTATCCAATTTGCCAGTCTGTGTCTTTTAATTGGAGCATTTAGTCCATTTACATTTAAGGTTAATATTGTTATATGTGAACTTGATCCTGTCATTATGATGTTAGCTGGTTATTTTGCTTGTTATTTGATGCAGTTTCTTCCTAGCATTGATGGACTTTACATTTTGGCATGTTTTTGCAGTGGCTGGTACCGGTTGTTCCTTTCCATGTTTAGTGCTTCCTTCAGGAGCTCTTGTAGGGCAGGCCTGGTGGTGACAAAATCTCTCAGCATTTGCTTGTCTGTAAAGGATTTTATTTCTCCTTCACTTATGAAACTTAATTTGGCTGGATATGAAATTCTGGGTTGAAAATTCTTTTCTTTAAGAATGCTGAATGTTGGCCCCCACTCTCTTCTGGCTTGTAGAGTTTCTGCCAAGAGATCTTCTGTTAGTCTGATGGGCTTCCCTTTGTAGGTAACTCGACATTTCTCTCTGGCTGCCCTTAACATTTTTTCCTTCATTTCAACTTTGGTGAATCTGACAACTAGGTGTCTTGGAGTTGCTCTTCTCAAGGAGTATCTTTGTGGCATTCTCTGTATTTCCTGAATTTGAATGTTGGCCTGCCTTGCTAGGTTGGAGAAGTTCTCCTGGATAATATCCTGCAGAGTGTTTTCCAACTTGATTCCATTCTCCCCATCACTTTCAGGTACACCAATCAGACGTAGATTTGGTCTTTTCACATAGTTCCATATTTCTTGGAGGCTTTGTTCATTTCTTTTTTACTCTTTTTCCTCTAAATTTCTCTTCTCACTTCATTTCATTCATTTGATCTTCAATCACTGGTATCCTTTCTTCCAGTTGCTCAAGTCAGTTACTGAAGCTTGTGTATTTGTCACATAGTTCTCGTGTCATGGTTTTCATCTCTATCGGGTCGTTTAAGGACTTCTCTACATTGGTCATTCTAGTTATCCATTTGTCAAATCTTTTTTCAAGGCTTTTAGTTTCTTTGCACTGGATTCGTACCTCCTCCTTTAGCTCAGACAAGTTTGATCGACTGAAGTCTTCTTCTCTCAACTCATCAAAGTTATTCTCCATCCAGCTTTGTTCCATTGCTGGCTAGGAGCTGCATTCCTTTGGAAGGGGAGAGGTGGTCTGATTTTTAGAATTTTCAGATTTTCTGCACTGCTTTTTCCCCATCTTTGTGGTTTTATCTACCTTTGGTCTTTGATGATGGTGACATACAGATGGGGTTTTGGTGTGAATGTCCTTTCTGTTTGTTAGTTTTCCTTCTAATGTCAGGACCCTCAGCTGCAGGTCTTTTGAAGTTTCCTCGAGGTCCACTCCAGACCCTATTTGCCTGGGTATCAGCAGCAGCAGCTGCAGAAGAGTGAATATTGCTGAACAGCAAATGTTGCTGTCTGATCATTCCTCTAGAAGCTTCGTCTCAGAGGTGTACCAGGCCGTGTGAGGTGTGAGGTGTGAGGTGTCAGTCTGCCCCTAGTGGGGGATGTCTCCCAGTTAGGCTACTCAGGGGTCAGGGACCCACTTGAGCAGGCAGTCTGTCCATTCTCAAACTCTGTACTGGGAGAACCACTACTCTCTTCAAAGCTGTCAGACAGGGACATTTACATCTGCAGAGGTTTCTGCTGCCTTTTGTTTGGCTATGCCCTGTCCCCAGAGGTGGAGTCTACAGAGGCAGGCAGGCCTCCTTGAGTTGTGGTGGGCTCCACCCAGTTCGAGCTTCCAGCAGCTTTGTTTACCTACTTAAGCCTCAGCAAGGGTGGGTGCCCCTCCCCCAGCCTCACTGCTGCCTTTCAGTTAGATCTCCAACTGCTGTGCTAGCAATGAGGGAGGCTCCGTGGGCATGGGACCCTCCGAGCCAGGTGCAGTATATAATCTCCTGGTGTGCCGTTTGCTAAGACCCTTGGTAAAGTACAGTATTAGGGTGGGAGTGACCCGATTTTCCAGGTGCTGGGTGTCACAGTTTCCCTTGGCTAGGAAAGGGAATTCCCTTTCCCCTTATGCTTCCCAGGTGAGGTGATGCCTCACCCTACTTCGGCTCTCGCTCATTGGGCTGCACCCACTGTCTGACATGCCCCAATGAGATGAACCTGGTACCTCAGTTGGAAATGCAGAAATCACCCGTCTTCTGTGACACTCACACTGGGAGCTGGAGGCTGGAGCTGTTCCTATTCGGCCATATTGGCGTGCCACCTTTTTTTTTTTTTTTGAGACGTAGTCTTGCTCTGTTGCCCAGGCTGGAGTGCAGGGGCACAATCTTGGCTCACTACAAGCTCCACCTCCCAGGTTCGCACCATTCTCCTACCTCAGCCTCCTGAGTAGCTGGGACTACAGGCACCTGCCACCACGCCTGGCTAATTTTTTTTTTTTTTTTTTTTTTGTATTTTTAGTAGAGACTGGGTTTCCCGTGTTAGCCAGGATGGTTTCGATCTCCTGACCTCGTGATCTGCCCACCTCGGTCTCCCAAAGTGCTGGAATTACAAGTGTAAGCCACTGCACCTGGCCGAATGGGTATCTCTAAGCCACCATCTGGCCACAGTTAGAGAAGTTCTGGATTAAGGAGAGTTTTAGGCAGTCAAGAAAAGCATCCCATATTCATCCCCCTTTGACAAATTATTAGATCCTGGTTACCTTTAACCAGTTGAACATAAAATTTCAGATTATATCTTCATAAGAATTTATAATAAATTTTTAAATTTCAGATTCCATTGAAAAGCTGATGAACATCTAAAAAGAGAGAAGGTAGGGCTTATCTCCAAAATCAAAATGATAGTTGCTTTTTTTATCCTTGGGGAGACTAGACTTGTCTTTAGGGTTCTTCAGTCCCTTCCAGAAGCCAGCTTTGTTTTTCCATGTTTGTATCTGTGGTAGACAGAATTTGGGGTCCCATTACCTTGTCTCTGGCATTACTCAGAGGAACATGTTATGCTACCTAGGAAAAAGGACTTTGCAGCTACAATTAAGGGTACTAATCAGTTGTTCTTAAGATAGGAAGATTTTTCTAGAATAGCTGGGTGGTTCCAATATAATCACATGAGCCATTAAAGAAGAGGAAGACAGAAGAAGTTAAGGACATTTGAAGTAGGAGAATGATTTGACACACTGTTGCTCACTGGCAGATGGAGGTGGCTATGTAAGAAGGAAGGTGAATGGCCTCAAGGAGCTGAGAGAGACTCCCAGGTGACAACTAGCCAACAACAGAGATCTCATTCCTACAACCTCAAGGAACAGAAGTCTGCCAACACCCTGAATGAGTCGGAAAGTGCAGTCTTCTTCAGAGCCTTTAGATTTGAGCCCAGCTGGCTGACACCTTGTTTTCAACCTTGGGATACACTGAGCAGAGCCCAGAAGAGCCTGCCTGAATTCTTAACCTACAGAACTGTAAGGGAGTAAATGAGTATTTTAAGCTGTGACCACAGCACTAGAAAACAAACAAAATCTAAATGTTTTCATTTAAAATAATATTTAAATAATGTCATTTAAAATAATATTCCAACGCTTTGGAAGAGCGAGGTGGGTGGACCATGTGAGGCCAGGAGTTCAAGACCAGCCTGACCAACATGGTGAAACCCCGTCTCTAGTGAAAATACAAAAAAATTAGCCAGGCATGGTGGTGCGTGCCTGTAGTCCCAGCTACTCTCAAGGCTGAGGCAGGATAATTGCTTGAACCTGGGAGGTGGAGGTTGCAGTGAGCCAAGATTGTGTCACTGCACTCCAGCCTGGACAACAGAGTGAGACTCCATCTCAAAATATAAAAATAAAAATAAAATAAAACAAAACAAAATAAAATAAATATTTTGGTCTGGAATTTTGTTTTCAGTTTGGTTTTTGGTATTCTTAGACTTGAATTCATTGCTGGATGATTCCCTATGTACAAGTTCCCTGCCTCTCTTTAAAGACCACATCAGATGCCACTTCCCCCAGGAAGCTTTCCCCAAGTAAGTCATTTGTTGTCATTAGCCTAATGATCTTTGCTGGAAAAGTCCTCGTTTGTTGGTGAGTGAGAAACGGGGGATGTGATACAGTTTGGATATGTGTTCCCACCCAAATCTCATGCTGAGTTGTACTCCCCAGTGTTGGAGGTTGGGCTTAGTGGAAGGTGATTGGTCATGGGAGTGGATTTCTCATGAATGGTTTAGCACCATCCCTTGATGCTGTGCTCGTGATAGTCAGTGAGTTCTTGCAAGATCTCGTTGTTTGAAAGTGTGTGACACCTCCCCTGCCTCTTGCTTCTGCTTTCACCATATGACATATCTGCACCCTCTTGACCTTCTGCCATGACTGGAAGCTTCCTGAGGCCTACCCAGCAGCAGACACCACTATGCTTTCTGTACAGCCTGCAGAATCACGAGCCAATTAAACCTCTTTTCTTTATAAATTACCCAGTTTCAGGTATTTCTTTATAGCAATGGAAGAATTGGCCTCATACAAGGTGATAAAGGATTGAATGTATATATGAGGAGGGGGGATATTTGGGAACCAGACAGAAAAATAAGTTCATTAACTCATTCAAGAAATACTGATCAAGCATCTATTGTTTCTTCTAGGTGCTAAAGATACTCTGGTGAATATGACAGACAAAGTTTCCCTCTGATGAACTCTACATTGTAGAGGAGGGAGGCAGATAATACACAGAAGTCAACAAATAAATGAAGAAAAGTCTCCAGACAGCAATAAGTCCTATAGGGGGCAAACTTCCAGTAATACATGAGAAACAGAAAAAGGAAGCCCCTTTAGAGAGAGTAACTGTTAAAGCCTTCTGTAAGAATGTGATTGTTGAGCCGAAACTTGGATGATGAGAAGGAAAATGTGCCCAAGAAGGGAAACAGCAATTGCAAAAGGCCAGAGGCTGGAGGGAGCTTGACATGTTTTCTGAACAGGGGAAAAATGACTATTTGACAAAGAAGCAGTAAATGAGTGAGAAAGTACAGCCAAGGTCCGATTAGCAGAGAGAGGCCCCAATCAACTAATGTCTTGTAGACCACAATGAGGGTGCGGGTTTTGTTACATATGTACTGGACACCAATTGCTGTGGAATATTATTGCAGCTTCTTCCAGACCAGACTCTTGCAGGAGTCAGATCTTGGAAGAGGGGTCATATGAGGCTGGAACTGTAGGAGGATGCAGCTGCAGTCAGAACCATGGCAGGCTTGCAGGGATGATGGGAAGGACAGAATAAGTATTCCAACTGCTCTAATCTTACAGTCTCTTGCCAGTCCCTCCCACTAGCTACAAAATAGAAAGGGAGAGGACAAAGCCACCTTGGTGGTGCAGTTCTCCAAGCGGTCAGCCTCATAGAAAAAGGAGAGAATGTGTTGGAGAGGGCAAAGGAGATCATTACACACAGACTTGCTGTTTTCCGTACCTACAATGTCTTCTTAGCTGGCAGACTACTAGTTTATCTTCATAACTATCTTCCAAAACCCACACGGGTGGAGGGAGATAACTGGAGTTAATGTATTCTAAGGTTCTTCCATTGTCCAGGAAGTAGTAAAAGTACTAATTTATACTAAACTATTGTAAGTCAGGAATGCATGGTATAATTTCTAAGGTGATCACTTAAAAAGGAGATGAAAGAATATATACCTAAAAGGTCAATAGAAGGGGGATATGGAATGATAAAAAAAAAAAACTTGACCAATTCAAAAGAAGACAACAAAGGAGACAAAAAGGAATATAGAACAAAGAAAAGATAAATCATATGATAGATTTAAACCCAAATAAGTTATTATTTCAGTATTTCCATGAATGTAGATGGACTGTGCTACAATTCAAATTTAAAAATTGTCTAATTGGATTTTTAAAAAATCCTCAACTATGTGCTGCTTATAAGAAACATACCTTAAATATAAGGGCATAGAAAGGCTGGCTATAAATAATTAGAAAAAAATATACCATACAAGCATTAGGAAAAATAAGGATAATAGAGTCACGTATCAGAAAAATAAACTCTCTTTTTTTTCTTTTTTTCTTTTCTTTGAGATGAAGTCTCACTCTGTTGCACAGGCTACAGTGCAGTGGCAAGATGGTGGCTCACTACAACCCAGACCTCCTGGGCTCAAGCCATCCCCTTACCCCAGCCTCCCAAGTAGCTGGGACTACAGATACATGCCACCGTGCCTGGCTAATTTTTCTTTTTTGTAGACATGAGATCTCACTATATTGCCCAGGCTGGTTTCAAACTCCTGGCCTCAAGCTATCCTCTTGTTTTGGCCCCCCAAGTGCTGGGATTACAGGTGTGAGCCACCACATCTGTTCAGAAAAAGTAAACTTTAATGTAATGAGCATTACTAAAGATAAAGAAGGACATCTTATAATGAGAAAAGGATTAATCCACTAAAAAGGTATTACAACACTTCTAAATTTTTTTTTCTTTTTTCTTTCTTTCTTTTTTTTTTTTGTTACTGAAACAAGGTCTTGCTCTGTTGCCCAGGCTGGAACGCAGTGGCATGAACACAGCTCACTGCAATCTCAGCCTCCTGGGCTCAAGCAATTATCCCACCTCAGTCTCCCAAGTAACTGGGACTACAGGTGCACACCACCATGCCTGGCTAATTTTTGTATTTTTGTAGAGATGGGGTTTCACGTGTTGCCCAGGCTGGTCTTGAACCTTGGGCTCAAGTGATCTGCCTGCCTCAACTTCCCAAAGTGCTGGGATTACATGCATGAGCCACTGCACCTGGCCTGTATTTTCTGTATTTTCCAACATGTAATACATAGCCTCAAACTATAAAGCAAAATTAGCATAAGAAAAGGGGAAAATAGATAAATCTATTTCTCAGGAAATGATAGAAGAAGTAGACAAAAATCACTAAGGATAGAGAATATTTGAACAGCATAATTAATAAACTGTGCTCATGTAGAACATTTCACCCAATAAATGAGGAATATAAATGTCATTCAAATGAACACAGAACATTTACCAAAACTTGACAATATGCACGGACAAAGCAAACCTCAAAATATTCAAAATAATTGAAATCATACAGAATACGTTAGACTACAGTGCAGTTAAACTAGAAATCAATAACAAAAAGATAACTTACTACTAAGGAAAAAAGTTACGAAAACCCTAAATAAATAGATGGATATATGATCTTCATGGATTGGAAAACACAGTATTGTAAAGATGACAATGCCCCCAAAATGACATATGGATTCAATGCAAGCTAAAGTAAAAACCCAGCGGCTTTGTATGAGAATATGCATTTGGCTGGTGTTAACAAGCTGATTCTAAAATACATATGGAAATGTAAAGGATTAAGCACAGCCAAAATAATATTCAAGAACAGAGCTGTAGAACTGACACTATCAGGTACAATGCTTATTACAATGCAAGATTTACAAGTGTGGAATTACTACAAGAGTATACAAATAGACCAGAGACATAGATCTAAGAGTCCAGAAACTGATACACACATACATGATCATTTAACTTATGATAAGATGGAAAACAAGTTTTTTTTTTAATAACTTGTTCAGGAGCAATTATAAATCTTAAGGGAAAAAAAATAAAATCTTGATCCCTACCCTTACGTCATACATAAAAAGCAATTCTAATATGTTGTACACAATACAACAGATAAAATGTTACCTGTCAATTTTAAAAATTTAAAATTTTCTTTCGTGGTGGCTCACGCCTGTAATCCCAGCACTTTGGGAGACTGAGGTGCACAGATCACAAGGTCAGGAGATTGAGACCATCCTGGCTTAACACTGCGAAACCCCATCTCCACTAAAAATACAAAAAAAAAAATTGGCCGGGAATGGTGGCAGGTACCTGTAGTCCCAGCTACTCCAGAGGCTGAGGCAGGAGAATGGCATGAACCTGGGAGGTGGAGCTTGTAGTGAGCTGAGACTGCACTATTGCACTCCAGTCTGGGTGACAGAGAGAGACTCTGTCTCAAAAATAATAATAATAATAATAATTTAATTTTGTCATAAAATTGATGCTTTTACATGATTTTTCTAAGATATTTTAAATAATAAACTATTTCCTTAAATTAAAAAAAAAGACGATTCTAGTGGAATGCAATGTAACTTGAAAGGTAAAACAAAATATGTCTTCTAAAAGTTAAAAACCGGAGAATATCTTTGTGATATTGAAGTAGTTAATATATTTTTAAAGGAATTAAAATTGATAAACATGATGGAAACCTTTATAAATTGGACTATATTAGAATTAAAACCTTTTTTTCAGGTAAAGGCATGATTAAAAGAGTGAAAAGGCAATTCAAAGAGTAGGACAAAATATCTACAACACGTAATTCCAAAAAAAGGACTCATGTTCAGAATGCATAAATAACTTCCACCATTCAGTAACAAAACAAACATACAATCCAGTGACTCAATAGAAAAACAGAAAAATGGAGCTGGGCATGGAGGCTCACGCCTGTAATCCTTGCACATTGAGAGGCTCAGGTAGGTGGATCACTTGAGGTCAGGAGTTTAAGACCAGCCTGGCCAACATGGAGAAACCCCATCTCTACTA